CTAAAGAACCTCACTGAACTACAGCACCTCACTGACCTACAGAACCTCACCGACCTACAGAACCTCACTGACCTACAGAACCTCACCGACCTACAGAACCTCACTGACCTACAGAACTTCAGTGACCTACAGAACCTCACTGACCTACACAAGGTGAGGTCAGTGAACCCGGCCAGGCTGATTCTGGCAGATCCTGATCACCACTCCATGGTGAGTTCAGATGTCTTCCATCACTCCATGGTGAGTTCAGGTGTCTTCCATCACTCCATGGTGAGTTCAGGTGTCTTCCATCACTCCATGGTGAGTTCAGGTGTCTTCCATCACTCCATGGTGAGTTCAGGTGTCTTCCATCTGGACGCAGGTATCTGCTGCTCAGACGTAGAACGAACAGACTGAACAACTCATTCATCCGTGTAGAGATCAGGCTTCTCAACCAACAGTGATGATCTCTGTACGGTTACTTTAATGTCTTTATTAAATTGCCCCTCAGAGATAATAAAGCTTCTTGAACTTGACCTCACAGTCCTCCTCATTTTCTCCCTGTCTGTTTTTAAAGGGCAATATTAAAGCACCACACACAGGCATGGCACACTTTCCGCAGCGTTTAAGTTGGGAACGTTCCACTCTGCCGAGAAAAAAAAGAAGCTTGTTTTGGAAAAACATCAGTCCTGTTACTTCCAGTTTGTTTTCATCATTAACCTTCAGTCTTTATCAAACACAACTCGGTTATCAGCAGCTAAAACTCAATGAGTCAAATAAATAAATTAGTGTAACTGGCTCAGTGAGGCACCAGATGAGAAGCAGCCCCTGGACATTGGCAGCTCCACAGTCTGAAACGTGGCTTTAGGAACTCCAGTAACCAAAGTTAAACACCTTCTGGGGGCCAGGGCGGGCGACATCGACTCCTACTTGAAACTGCTAACTAAGAATAAATATAATAAGATTGTTATTCACGTGTGCAGTCATGACACGTGGTTACGCCAGCCGGAGGTCCCTAAACTTAATGTTGCTTCGATGTGTGACTTTGCTAAAACTCTAGGGTTTTGGTCGTGTCTGTGTTTCCTCAGGTTTCCTGTTCAGCTCTGTGTTCTCCCTCCTTGTGTTCAGCCCCTGTCTCACCTGTGTCTCGTGTTAATCACTGCAGGTGTCTGTCCTTGTCCCAGCAAGTGTCTGTGTATATATTCACTTCCTCTGCGTCTTGTCTTTGTCTCGGAATTGTCCTCCCATGGTGTCGTCTTCAGCCTTTTTGTCCTGTCGGCCCTGATCTGCCTGTTTTCAGTCTGTGAGTAGCTGCCCTGTCAGCGTTTTGATTTTGTTTTGTAGACTATAATAAATATTGTTACTGTCCCGCAAGCGTCCTTGTCATCCTCCTGCACGTGGGTTCAACACTCCTGACGGCTGAACATGATAAAAACCATGTCAGACTATTATCTGGGTAAGATATACACTGATATATGCTAAACAAACACTGAACAGTACGCTAAAAGATTTCAGATATACACTAAACATTAATGATGTAAAACCATACGGCGCAACAACAACAGCTTGAACAAAGAAACGACAAAGAAGAACAATTGGAATCAAACTGTTTTTAATGTTCAGATAAACAAAACCACTTATTAATAAATATACTTTAACCATGTCCCCAAGATCCAGTAAGGCTTTAAAACACATTTATATTATATATTTAACTGACTGGAAATAAATAAATAAATCAATAAATCAATCCATCCATTTTCTTCCACTTATCCGGGGCAGGACCTCCTCCCCGACACAAAGAGGGCACTGACTGGACATTTAAAAAAGTTACAGGCAGTAAAATTCTAAATTGCTGCATTTAAAACTCCAAAGGATCAGACAGAACAAGAGGTTGTAAACCTTCTGAATCGTCTTTGTAGCGAAACATCTTTTAAGCAAAGTTGTTCAAAACTTTAACAACAGAATAACAAAACTCCACACGTTTAAATCTAAATACAAGCATCCAGGTTTAATTTTAGGAAAAAGGAGCTTTAGGTTCAAAACCCTTTATCTAAGCATCTCTTCTTATTTCTTGGCCTTGAAGAAGATGTTTCCATTGGACTGCTTGCTCCAGCTCAGCTTGATGTTGGCTGCCACTCCCTGCTCATTCAGCTTCTGTTGCAGCTGAAACATTAAAACATTTTCACATACGGATGATTCAATCAGAGAAATCAATCCTGAAGTTCTTCTTTCTCCTCTCAGCATTGATAAAAACCGTGTCATAGGTGAACAGATGTTACTAAAGCTCTGAAGCACGTGCACAGATTTACTGTTGAAGTCAACGAAAGTCAAGATGGTCACCTCAACTAATTAAACAAAAGATAGGGTTTCTCTGAGCTGGGAATGTTGGGAGACCAGCTGGTGACTCAAAACTGCAGGACAGTGGCAATAAAACTTACTGTAGGTTCCACACTTGTAGAACCTGCAGTGTAGAACATACAGTGTAGAACATACAGTGTAGAACCTGCAGTATATAACCTGCAGTGTGGAACCTACAGCGTGGAACCTGAAGTGTGGAACCTATAGTGAAGAACCTACAGTGTGGAACCTGCTGTGTGTTTGGTATTTGTAATTATTTTTTCTATCCTTAACACGTGTTTTTTTTGTCTATCTTTCTTTTGTTGTCTTTACAGTGTAGAACCTACAGTGCGGAACCTGCTGTGTGGAACCTGCTGTGTGGAACCTACAGTGTGGAACCTGCAGTGTAGAACCTACAGTGTGGAACCTGCAGTGTGGAACCTGCAGTGTGGAACCTGCAGTGAGGAACCTACAGTGAGGAACCTACAGTGTGGAACCTGCAGTGTGGAACCTGCAGTGTAGAACCTACAGTGTGGAACCTGCAGTGCGGAACCTACAGTGCGGAACCTACAGTGCGGAGCCTACAGTGCGGAGCCTACAGTGTGGAACCTGCTGTGTGGAACCTGCAGTGTAGAACCTGCAGTGTAGAACCTGCAGTGTAGAACCTACAGTGTAGAACCTGCAGTGTGGAACCTACAGTGTGGAACCTGCAGTGTGGAACCTACAGTGTGGAACCTACAGTGTGGAACCTGCAGTGTGGAACCTGCAGTGTGGAACCTGCATTGTGGAACCTACAATGTAGAACCTGCAGTGGGGAACCTGCAGTGTGGAGCCTACAGTGTAAAATCTACATTGTGGAACCTGCAGTGTGGAACCTGCAGTGTAGAACCTGCAGTGTGGAAGCTACAGTATGGATCCTACAGTGTGGAACCTGCTGTGTGGAACCTGCAGTGTAGAACCTACAGTGTGGAACCTGCAGTGCGGAACCTGCTGTGTGGAACCTGTTGTGTGGAACCTGTTGTGTGGAACCCGCAGTGTGGAACCCGCAGTGGGGAACCTACAGTGTGAAATTACAGTGTGGAACCTACAGTGTGGAACCTACAGTGTGGAACCTACAGTGTGGAACCTACAGTGTGAAATTACAGTGTGGAACCTACAGTGTGGAACCTGCAGTGTGAAACCTACAGTGTGAAACCTGCAGTGTAGAACCTACAGTGTAGAACCTACAGTGTGGAACCTCCAGTACAGTTCTTTGTGCCACCCTATTAAGAGCCATCTAAGCAGCAGTGACCCTAAACCAGGGGTGTCAACTCCAGGCCTCGAGGGCCGGAGTTCTGCAACTTTTAGATGTCTCTGATGCCACACACCTGAATCTTATGACTAAATTAGCTTCTCCGTGCAGTGAAGTTCTCCAAAGTCCTGCTAATGACCTCCTTATTTGACTCATCTGTGTGGCATCAGAGACGCATCTAAAAGTTGCAGGACTCTGGCCCTCGAGGCCTGGAGTTGACACCTGTGCTCTAAACAGATGTTGGACTTAATCTAGCAGGTTCTCTGGACGGACTATTCTGCGGACCTGACTTAACCTTGTTAGAGTTTTCTACCTGGTTTTACTGAGCAGCATCAGGACACTTGACTTACCTTCGTCAGCAGGTCATCGAGCACCGCTGCATCATTCAGATCAGGAGTGGATCCTCTCACCAGCTTTAGTTTCATGCTATATCTTGAAAAAGGCACCGGGTCTAAAAACAGAACAAAAATATTGACCTCATCATTTCTGCTGGTGACACCAAGTGACGTGAGTTTTAGTTGAGCGGCCTCTGAAACCCCCCATCATGTCCAAGTTGAAACACTTCAGAGAATTTTGTGCAACATTGAATGACCAAAAAAAGTAAGTTCCATGTGGATCTACAGGAACCTTTGAAGGAAACCATAGACTTCAAGGAGATCACTGCAAGATCTCTGAGAGACCTGCTGCAGCTGATGGAGATCACAGATCACTGAGAAACACTTGCAGGGAGTAAATGGAGGGATTTCTGTCTTCTGCTCTTCAGTCTCTGACTAATGATTCCTCTAGAACCAGATGGTTATTGTTCTTATCCAGAGGATGCAAAGGTGTAGAAGGAGACCAAGGAGGTGGTTGAAACAATGGTGGGGTTGGAGATCCTCTTACCATCTTGGCTTCTGAGAGACACTGACACTCTGAGGAGCTCTTTTTATACCCAATCATGTTGTCAATTGACCTAATTAGTGTTAATTGGTCTTCCAGCTGTTCATTATATGCTCAGTTTCCTTTTTCCAGCCACTTATTGCTACTTGTCCCAACTTTTTTGGGATTTGTTGACACTGTGAAATTTTGAATCAACATATTTTTCCTTTAAAATGTTACATTTACTCAGATTAAACTTTTGATCTGTCATCTATGTTATATTACGAATAAAATATTGACATTTGTCATCTCCACATCAGTTTTTATTCACAATTTGTTTCGTGTCCCAACTTTTTTGGAATCTTGTTTGTATAACAACAAAGATGTTTTTTATTTCAACGGGACTTTATCTGGTGAAATAAAATAATATAATAGAAGGATTTTAATGTTCAGATAATTTAGTAGTGGAGTTTATGAAGGGTGCATAAAATCTGAGTTGCTGTACATTTCAGCATTAAACTTTTTTCAGATCCTATTTGTTAATCAAATTCTAAAATTTGCAATATCCTTTGTAAAAACTCAAAACATTTGTTGTATTAAGTTTTGGCCCACTTAGAGCCCTCACAGTGGAACTAACCTCATGGAGCTAGCTGCTGGTCATCACCAGTGTTTCTGTCTCGCCTGCTCCCTTGAACAAACATTCATCATTTATATGTGTCTTATTTTATTTGTATGGAATAAGTCTTGTTTTAACTGAAATGAATGAATGAATAAATAAATAAATAAATAAATCTACTGCACTTTGCTGCATCAGCACCAGTGAGTTCATCTTTTCATCCTCTCTCTCTCTCTGCTCCACATTTTCTCATGATCCAAACTGGAGAAACTATGGACGTACAAAGATGCGTGCACCACGCATGAACATATAGTATAACCCTCGTGAGCGCGAGTCCACAGGGGAGTGCGCACGCGAACGCAGCCTGTGTGTCTCCGCTCGGCTCAGTCCACTGCCTCAGAGCAGGAGGGGGGTATGGGGTACCGTTTGTAAAGTTGCACAGTCAAAAATTA